ATTAAAGGCAACCTGAAATAACCATTGCATATGTATCTTTTATTTGCAGGAGGAAGGTGTCGATTTGGGTTATTGTTTTTAGCTAAATGCACTCCCCGTTCAGAAAGATATTTCACACTGTACTGGTAGGCTTTGTGCCCAGCCTTCCCTGCAGCTGAATGTTTTAGATATATCAGAAACACACGCCCTGGCTTGACAGATGGGACATAGGCCCAGTAGCCCCAGGCCATTCAGGAATAGCAGCTGGAGGACATACAAGATACCCAAAGGTGCCTAAACCAACATTAGACATCTCTGTTTAGGCCACTAAGTCTTGTCCCTGTGGGCGAGCCAAAAGGCACGTCATTTGGTGGTAGTGAAAGGTTCCCCAGTACCCTGTCTGCACAGAAGTTTTGCCACAACTGTAGGTTACTCCATGCAACGTAACCAAAGGATGAATTGGTTTGTCTCATCTATGTCAGATGTGATTTCCATCTAACGATTTGACTGCATTAGCCACTTCTCAAATTGTGGGGCTGAGCTTAATGAGTACTAGAACCTCATTTAAGACGTTCATCTTCCAGTGACACCAGCAGTTTAATGCAGCATTTTCTTTGTAGTCTGACTTGGTTCTTAAATTATGTTGAGAAGTCACTTCACTAGATAAAAATATTTTTCCAACAAGTAATGATCATGTGGGTAGGAGCTTGTTACTGGCAGCTTTGAGTATAACTTCTCTTTGTCTTTTCTGAACTCTGACTGCCGAGTGCATGACTCTTGCTCTGTCAGACGTCCATGCGCGTGTCCAGCTGGCGACAGAGCGCTTGCTGTACCCTCTGGTGTGAGAGACAGCGGAAGCCCTACAGCTGAAGTGGCATTTTGAAAGATGTTACAGCTTCCACGACGTTTCTCTTTAAAGACCTCAAAGTATTAGAATAATTTGTCAAGGCCTAATGGAAAAGGTTTAGAAACTGCTTTATCCACTTCATATTTCCACCAAGAAAATAAGAAACAAATACAAGACTGATAGAAGGCCCAGGTCTCTGAGAAATGCTTTGATACAAATTATTACTGTGATTAGGAAATTAGTGGAACTTTAACCAAAAAAAAAAAAAAAAATCTGCCAGGCTAATGAGTCACTAGTCTGATCCAGGGTGGAAATTCTTGTATTTCTATATTATGAGCCAAACACTGTTTTTCTTTTATGACATGATGGAAGAAAATAATTTGGCAGCTCTCTAAATTTATCAGTAGACTGATAACTGTTTTAGTTTTATTGTTCTTGGTTCTAATCAATACACTTTTACCTGTGAAGTATCTTGATATGTAACAGGTTTCGGTTGGATAAGTGTGTATATATTCTGTGGTTTTCCAAATTTGGTAACTCCTTGATGGTCTGAAGATTGGATAAGAGCACTTGTGAAGTTCTGCAAGTATTGCAAATAGTCAGCATTTTAGAAGCATACCACAACTCTTTTCAACAGCTTAGTCACTTGAAAATCTAGTCTGGGGGCTAGGAAGGTAACAGAGAAAATGAAAATGTTCTTATCAGTTGTTTTACCATGTTTCTACTAACTCTGCTAGCCTAGAAAATGCTTCATTGATTTTGCTCAGGAAGTGTTCAGTGTTGTACTACTTCTTTTCTCGTTTAAAAAGAAAACCACAGCTATTAATGGGCCAAATATAAAAATGGTGGTAAAAAGAACCATTCATGCATACTATGAAAGTGAACTAGATAGTTCTTAAGGAGTATTCTTTATCTACCTTTCCACTGACAGTGATAGGTTGCATACACTCAGCAAGCAGGACTCCAGTATCTCAACCAGTATTACTGCCTGTCATCTTGAACACTCTCAGCTTTCATATGCTGAGGTGGGAAGAGATATTTCAAAATATCCTTCTTGGCAAAGACGTACAAACGTTTCTTCTCTTCTTTCCAACTAATCAGAAGGAAAACAAATTCAGAGGAAGAAGCATGGTTTCAGTCTTGTCATCATATGGTGTACCATAAAGCTGATGAAGCAGAAAGACCACGAGAAAGAGAGCATCCAAATTTGCATAGCAACAATACAGAAGAAAAGGACAAATTTTAATCACATGTCATTTTCACAGACTTTCTCACTGGTCATTTAAATTTATTTGGAATTTTTATCAACTCAGATGCCACCTTAGGCGTGTGTCTGAAAAGGAGCAGAAAAAATGTGAAGGTTTAGGGGAGCTATAAATCTGCTTGCTCAGCAGTGCAGAAGAGTTAGTATGCATTGTAATGTTTCCCGTTTCTATTATGCACAGCTACATGTAGAGATTAAGTGTATTTCACTTTTATGTTCTAGATGAAAAGATTTTAACAGTCCGTGTTAGGCGAGAGAGAAACCAGGGAACTAACTGCCTGGTCCTCCCTGGCTGTAAAAATATGCCTAGAATTTCAACCTGATGGAGAGCAATAGGAAGGAATTCTCATTTCTTTCTGTGAGGCCAGGATTTCATTCCAGAAATGACTTCTCAGATTTACTGGAGGAAACAGTCTGTTTCTAAAATGCAGTATAACAAAAAGCTTGTTCACTGTAAGGAGTGAAAAGTGTTTTTATCCATTTGAAACCATGGAGATTGTTTAGAGTAATAACAGTAGAGTGATTTCCCTGGAATTTGACTAGTAGCTGGAACAACTCCATCTCAACTATTTTAGAAAGTATTGCAATATGTTTATGGTTGTGCATGACCTGCTTATAGCATTAACAGTAACTTCTTGTATCAGGCTTTGCAAAGGAGGCCTTATGCTGGAGCACATAGAGAGGAAACTTTAGATTGCTCAAGTCAAAGTAAAAATGTCATGTTCGGCCTGCCCGCGGAGCCCTGAGCGCACCCATGTCCTGTGCTTGTGTTGTCCAATGACACCTCCCTGTGACTTGTCGTGGCCCTTTTTTTGTATGCGTGCGTGCACATTTCAGATGTCTGCTCATGTGCAATTTGGTTTCCTGTTCCTGGGAAGTCATGAAATACACAAAGTTACTACTCTTTCAGCCAAACAAACCCCAAAATAAACATATAATATAAACCCATACCTAGAAAAAAAGTGTTCCTATGTTTTATTATTATTACAATGTTATTACACTGTAATAGTGTATTACATATTACCGTAGGAAGCAGGGAATGTATTATTGCAGAGGGCTATACTCAAAAGCTGAATTGAGATAGATGCATCAGTTGCTCCCGACGAGCTTCCTAGTATAACCCTAAAGGCACAGATAAGCTTAAACTGTCTTTAGAGTGTCCTGTGCCAGCTAAAATCCACAAACTATTATTGCGGTCTGTAACAATTGCAGTTATGAGATTATGTTTCCACGTCCTGCTTCCAGCCTCTTTAGAAGAGGTTGTAGTATAGTTATCCACCTAAATCACATATGCATATGCCATATTCTTTGCAGGTTTCTGCAATCTGAACATTATTTTTAATTTTTTTCTCACTATTGTTGTGGCACTTCGTCCGTTTCACAATTACGCAAGCTCCCTCAAGGTATCAAGGAATGTGTAGGCAATACTGTGTTTTAGAAAGCTGGAAGTAACAGGTACTTTACAATGGTCCTACTAGGAAAAAGAAGCTTATGAATAACTTACTACTGTTTTACTACTATTTTTATTCACCTAGAAACACGCAAGTAGGAGGAACTTTTAGGATCACTGTTTCTAGTCCTCATCATATTGTCCCTTTTACAAATCACTGCTTGATCCAAGAAGTGTCGTCTTACCCTTCTGGAAAGCAGGTTATGCAGTATACGTGCTATACGTGACAAGCAAGTTGAGTGAAAAGTAACAGGCCCCTGTCTTGCCAGTGCGCCTTTTCTGCTACACAGAGCTGTGGGGCTGGGAGAGACTGCAGAAAAAAATTCTGTTATCCCTGTGTGCTTGGGACAGGATGCAGCCCATCCCCTGCAGAGCTGTGAGACTCGTTCTTCAAAGCGTCCACAAGGAGACTGCAAAACATCCCTAGGCAGGTTGTCCCATTCCTCAGTTAGAAAGCCTTTTGTAATATACTGCTTAACTGTTCCTTCTGCAGGTTAGGCCGACCTGTCCGCTCTTACCAGTGGAACCAGTCAGCTCTTGATCACCATCTTCTGTTTTAATGGCATCCTATGTATTGAAGACTCCACAGCCTGCCTTCTTTTTTCCAGATTAACTAGATGTGCTTTCTGCAACCTTTCCCATAGATCTTGTTTTGCTTTCTTTTGGAGTCGTTCCAGTTTATCTGTGTCTTTCATAATATGCGGTGCCTAGAATTGGATGAAGAAGTCAGCTGAGGACTCAGCTGCCTTTGGAAAATTAAATAATTGCATTTCTCGTCTTACCTCAGACAGTTATTGCACAACAGATGTGCATCTTTTGTTTTGCTTCTGTCTGATGATATTCTACTGAACTGTTGTCTCTCTGCATTTTTTTTCATGCACGTTTAATTTCTGCTTCCTAAGTGCAGTTCTTCGCAAAAGCTTAACTCGGTCTTGTTGATTTTGGACAGTCTCTCTAGTTTGTCTAGTCTGTCTTGCAGAGTGCTTGGCAGCCCTTTTGGCTTGGAGGCGCTCTCATCTTTTTCTTCCTCTGTTTAGATGGGATCTGGAAGATTCCCACTGCAAGAGCTCTGCTCTCTTTTCCCCTACTGCCTTTGCCCACAAGCATTCAGTGTATCTACCAGTGTTTTCTAAATCAATTGCACTCTTCCATGTCAGTATTTCAGGCCTACTGTTTTGCCTCATCAGGTTTCCATGGTGCCTGTTATGCATGTTACTTTTGAGAATTTTTAACTCTCTCTGCTTATATTTGCCTTATTTGTGGAATCTGTGTACGGATATTGCAGACTTGGGCAGATTCAGTATTCCTTCTTGCTTTCTCTCTCTTTGGCCTCTACCATTTTGCGAGTGATGGCCATGTTTGGGCAAGGTTCGAATGAGTAGCTGTATGTTATGCTATATTCCATTTCTGGTCATACAAAATCAAAGCCATATAATTTGGAATTTTAATGTGTGTTTCAGCCATGGGAACAAAGAAGTATTTTCTTGTCGAGGAATAAAATTGGCAGTAGACTGGTTTTTGGAAAGAGGCCATAAGGATGTTACAGTGTTTGTGCCAGCATGGAGGAAAGAACAGTCGAGACCTGATGCTCTTATCGCAGGTAAGCTCGGATTTTTTTCACTGGTTTGTTTTGCTCCTTGTGCAGCATGAGTGGTACTGTTCAAATGAACAAACCCTTAGCAATGAAAACCTTTATAATAAAAAGTATCTTCAACTTCATTGCAATCTTCAGAAAGGAAAAAGAAAAAAACAGTGCCCTGTCCAAGACCTCCTTTGCTGCTTGCCTCATAAGTTTTCACTGAACATTTTTACTTATTTCTTGAAGAATGTAATTGTCATTTTTAAAAATTGCTATACCTATGGTGTATTAGCAGGGAAGAGGTTTAAGTTTTTGATTCACGGACTGATCTTTCTTGTGATGAGTAGATTCTCCCAGACTTTCCTGTCTGCTGGTTACCTACAGTGATTCACTGCGCCTTACACTTGGAATTAATGGAATTATCCTCACAGTAAGCGAGAAGTTCCCCTTTTGATCATTGCTTTTATCAAGTGAGAAAGCCTTTGAAATTTTTATTTTAAGTATGTTTATCCAGGGAAAAAAATAGGGAGGCAGAGGTATTTATTTCTTTATCAAATTCCTTGATTCTTTATGAAGGCTAGAGGGTCATCCTCCCTCCTGCCCTAAAATTCAAGCAGAGGAGAATTCTGAGGTTAAAACAAACCCTGGAATTTAGCAGGTTTGGGGGGTTTGTGTTTTTTAGTTATTTTATTTTGTTTTTGAAGATATGGCTGCCTTTAATTAAGGAGAAAAAAAGCTTACGGGAATAGTAGTTACAGCTTCTAAAAGGAAACGGAAGCATGTTGTGATCTTCACATGCATTTCCAAAGACCTGAAAGATATTTACAATACTTCATTTCATTTGCTTAATTGCTACTAGAACATACCTTGTTAATGCAAGAAGATATTTGGAAAGCTGTTTTTGTCTCCTCCTAGCAGGCAGTGTGGAGCCTTTCTTCGAAGGTATTCAGATAAATCTTTGCTATAGATTATTGCAAAGGTAATAAATAAAACTGTAACCCAAGAAGGGAGGAGTATTAGCCAATTGTAAGAGGTGGTCTTGCTCAAGTAGTGTTTGAGGTTTCAGAAAGCGCATCAGCCAAGTAATAAAAATTTGACTATTTAGAATTGATTTGTAATATCAGCTAGAGCTATGGTCTTGTAGCCCAGGAAGGAGTTTTGAGAATTTTAGAATTTAGGTTTAGCTTTGCCAAGTTCTCTAGCAATGAAAAATGAGTTTGCTATGTGTCTTTATGGACCTTGAAAACAGGGAAAACCAAGCCCGGTTATTATGTCTTCTGTAAAATAGAAGTTCTTCGGTTGTCTTATCAGGATGGAGGGAGCCTGTCTGCTGCTAGTCTTGTGAAATAGATTGTGTTGACAGTCCATTTCCAAAGATAAGCACTTGAAGTATGTGGCCAGCTGGAATTTTGAAAAAGTCTGAAATGTCTGATGTAAGGATGGCTCTAAACTGTCTATTTGTGGAAAACCTCTTAGACTAAAGAACAGCTGCGTCTTTCTTACTGTTACCTGCTATTCATCTAAACATGGCAGGTATTTTATTCTTAGTAGGCAACAATATCGCTTTCCATCAGGCTCTTATTACCACAAGGGGGAAAAATGAATACAAAATGGCTGGATTTCAAATCTTGTATTTTTTTCTAGTAAGCAGATAAATGTGTGTCTCAAATATATTGCTCAAATGTAACATTATTGCAGTATTTCTTCCTGTTGGAGTCTTTTTTCTAGATGGAAGATGTTCCCCATCAAGTTTCTTGTGCTACAAAAGAGTTGAGTTACTTGAGATGCAAACCATTATTAAAGGCCAGGGGTCGTGTTCACTGTGCAAGCATCCTCTGCAGTTTTAGATATTGCCTGGTTTTTTTATTTATTTTCATTTTAAAACTTGCCCGCTCTGTGGGCAGCGATAGCAAGCAGAATTGACAGAAGAGCATATGTGCCCCAGACCTTGGTGTGCTGGTGCTACATCCAGTGTCTTGGTTCAGCTCACCCTCACTGGTAGTCTGAGCTCAGCTTTCCAAGCTCCTTGGGAACTCCATATTTCACAGGGAGAAAGAGAAAATGCTGTTGGTTCAGTGACTGAAGGGCAGTGCAGAACAAGAAGGAATTATGCAAAATATTAAATATACTTATTTAGCTGAATTAAAGAGAAATCTGTTTGGATCTGTTTTATGTATAAAATTTTATGTCCTTCAAGGAGAAATACATTCTGAACTGTTACTATCACTAGAAGACCTATTTGCTGTTGTTGTTCCTTTCTGTAATTTGGTTACAAGGTGACATCAGAAGTCTTTTTAGAAGAGGCTGTTAAAGTCTGTGAAGAGCCTGCGTGTTTTTACAGGATATAGGTTTTCTAGTCCTTGTGTGCACTGGTGGCAACCCCTGTTCGTGATGGGGAGGGATTTCTATGAGGCAGCCCCATTAATATGAGCAACTGGAAGTATTTCAGAAGCTGCTTCTTAGTGGGTACCACACAGGGATGGAAGAGGTCTGTTTCTAACAAGGAGCTCAGTTATGGGAAACCGTTGACGGTAGGAGCTCGTAGACTTCAAGGTAGCGCTCCTATTCACTGAAATGTCCAAAAAGATTAAAGCTTTTTTTTTTTTTTTTTTTTTTTAACCTCCTCAACCAGAGAAGGTTTTCATGGGCACTTTGATAAGTAGTATTTCTTTTAACCACAGCAAAGTGAACAAGGTCCCCTGTGTTGTTCTAGAAATGGTCTGGAGGGGTTATGGGCTTGGGGGGGAGGGGGGGTTGTTGTTGTTTGGATTGGGATTTTCTTTTTGGAAAGTATTGTCAGTTGACTGCTGACTGTTAACTTCAAATACCATGCATTCAACGCTTTCTGCTGGACTATTTCAGATGTGTTTAGTCCCAAATGCTTGGATTTTCTTCCTCAAATCTAGTGTGTTTGGAAATCAAAAAACATGTTCTTTTGTTTTTTTTAACTTCTGATTCTTAATCCTTGTAGACCAAGAAATCTTGCGTAAATTAGAAAAAGAGAAGATCCTTGTGTTCACACCATCCCGTCGAGTGCAAGGAAGAAGGGTGGTATGCTACGATGACCGATTTATAGTGAAATTGGCCTTTGAGTCAGACGGCATCATTGTTTCTAATGATAACTACAGGGATCTAGCTAATGAAAAGCCAGAATGGAAGAAGTTCATAGATGAACGCTTGCTGATGTATTCATTTGTTAATGACAAGTAAGTTCTTATCTTTATACGTGCCACTAAAATAACTGAGAAAGGGACAATTTGAAGTCTTGTAGGAATTTGTTAGCTTCTACCCAAATCATTAGCTACGTATTAGGAAAATAAAAGGATTAGTCAGTCATAGATTTGGTGTTCTGATTAGAAGCATTTGAACTCTGTTTTTTGCCAGAGCATTTCCAGAACAATTTCTTTAAATTTTTTATTCTAGAAAGTTTTCCTCTTTTAGTATATGCCAAAGTGCATGATATATTTGATGTATGCTACGGTATAGGATTCCTATTCTCTTGATATACCAAGCCAGTATTTTTGGGTGCCTATGGTTAGATTCCTAAATCATAGAATCATAGAACAGCTCAAATTGAAAGGGCCCTCAGGAGGCCTTTATTCAAGCCATCTGCTCGGATCCATGTATGGTATCTTCGTATACCTGGCGTAAGTATCACCTGCAGTTACTATCAGTAACTTGTAGTGGGAGTGACTCAGTACTCTGCCAATCAGGCACCTGTATTTGAGTGCCTGAATGCTGATGTAAGAGCCTTTGGTACAGACAAACAGCATATTTTTGCAAATCTAGTTGTGGCAGTTTAAGAAGTTGATGCCTGTGTTGCCGCCCCACCAGTGGTTTAGGAATGCGTTGTGTGCAGCCCTGCTGTGCTGCCGAGCAGCCAGCTGGGCTAGAATGAAGGTGGCTGAAGCAGGCTCACCTGTCTGTTTCTGGTACTCATCTCTGCAGGCAGTGCCTGTAGCAGAAATGTGGTCTTACACAGTTGCAATACAGTAACATCACTAGCTGCAGGTGTTTTCAAAATGGCCTTCTAATTACACCCTAAATCTCAAATAACCCAGGTTTAAAAATTTAAGTATATGAGGTTATGGTGTGGGGACTCAATCGTGAGGTTCTGGTGTTTCCATGACGATTATGAAAAGGCCTATTTATTTCTGTAACTTTTTTTTTTTCCTTTTTTATAGATTTATGCCTCCTGATGATCCTCTTGGCCGCCATGGCCCAAGTCTGGACAATTTCCTTAGAAAGAAGCCTATTGTACCAGAACATAAGAAGCAACCATGTCCATATGGTAATTTGATTTAACTCATCGGTTTTCTGTACTGCTGGGACTGAAGATCAAGTTCCTGCTTTATTTTAACGCTACCTAAAATAAAAAACTTTTAAACAGAGGTTTTACATCGTTATCTTAGCTTCTGAACTTTTGAAATGCTGAGCACTGGAGCTGGTGGAAACTGCAGTGATTTTTTTCACTAGTTAAAGAGTATGTTTTTACCTGCCAGTTGAGCTAAAGGAGGAACTTTTGTTAATAATTGGTAGGAAGAGGTCCAAAACAGCACCTAAATTCTGCAGGGTCCAGAAAGCCCTTCTCTAATGTGCCTAGGCCATAAGGCGACTAATAATTCTTCCAGAAAATGGATTGAGCTGCCTGAATTTTAGCTGCTGAGCATCCCAGCAGGCACACCACCATCTTGACTGAATTTCTGGTGGTCTTAACGACTCTGTGGGATTTTCACATTAAGTTTCCCACTTGTATATCTCCTTGGCACAATATAGCAAATATGTACCCACTGACAGCGTCAATCATACTCAGCTCAAAATGTGGCTGGCAGTAGTAGCAAGTATGTACACACTGACAGTGTCATATTCAGCTCAAAACATGGCTGGTAGTAGTGGTCAATCTGCCTGGAGCTCTAACTGCAGCACATTACCACCTCTTTTTCCCACAGCATAAGAAAGGAGATCTTAGATCTCATGCTGTGACACACACAGACATTTGCAAGATCTTTCAAATCACCAGTAAAACTTTAAATGAAGGCCATTTCCATTGCTTAATGATTAACAGATTTTGATTTTATGTTTTTATCTCATTATGTTTGTATTAATAGGGAAGAAATGTACCTATGGACACAAATGCAAATACTATCATCCAGAAAGAGGAAATCAGCCTCAGCGATCTGTAGCTGATGAACTTCGTGCCATGTCTAGAAGCACAGCTGCCAAGGCTACAAGTGAAGGAGGACTGGTAAAAAGCAATAGTGTTCCCTGTAGCACTAAGAATGAAGGCACTTCTGAGCTGAAGCGTGTTGCTCCAAAGAGGCAATCGGATCCCAGTATAAGGACTCAAGTCTATCAAGACTTGGAAGAAAAGCTTCCCACCAAAAACAAATTGGAAACCAGGTCTGTACCTTCTTTAGTTAGTATACCAAGTTCCTGTGCTGCAAAACCCCAAAGTACTGCACCTTTAGTCAACGGCCTTCCATCTGGAGTTCACTTCCCACCTCAGGATCAAAGACCACAGGGACAGTATTCTACAGTGATGATGGCAACCAAAAATCATGGAACACCAATGCCTTATGACCAGTATCCAAAATGTGAGTCTCCTGTGGACGTAGGGTATTACTCTATGCTAAATGCATATTCAAATCTAAGTATATCTGGTCCACGTAGTCCTGAAAGGCGCTTCTCCTTGGACACAGATTACAGGATTAGCTCTGTAGCTTCTGACTGCAGCAGTGAAGGGAGCGTGAGCTGTGGTAGTAGTGATTCCTATGTGGGTTACAGCGATCGCTCTTATATGAGTTCACCTGACCCACAGCTGGAAGAAAACTTGAAGTGCCAACATATGCACCCCCATGGCCGCCTTAACTCTCAGCCCTTCTTACAAAGCTACCATGAGCCTCTAGCACGAGTGCAAAGTTATAGTCATGAAGAACCAAAGCATCACCACAAACCTCCAGTTCCATACGTGGCTGTGCATCTACAGCATCCAACAGTCAGTGCTCGTTCTAGTTGCCCGAACGACTACTCTACATCTCAGAGTCCAGCACATTCAAAGACCATGCATCTGGGGAGAGCCCTTGTGTCCACAAGAATAGACAGCATTTCAGATTCGCGTTTATATGATAATTCTCCATTAAGACATAGAAAGCCTTATTCTGGCCAAGATGGGCTTGGAAGTTGGGATAGGCCAAATTATGGAATCGATGCGTACGGCTATCGTCAGACCTACTCTTTACCTAGTAACCCCACGCAGCCGTGTTATGAGCAATTTGCCTTCCAAAGCCTACCTGAACAGCAGGACCAGACTTGGCGTGTACCTTACTGTGGAATCCCTCAAGACCCTCCAAGGCATCAAGACACCAGGGAGAAGGTTTACATAAACCTGTGCAACATCTTCCCCCCTGATCTTGTGAGAATTGTTATGAAGAAGAACCCTCACGTGACAGATGCTCAGCAGCTCGCTGCAGCCATTTTAGTGGAAAAATCTCAGCTAGGTTATTGAAAGATGATGCATCTTTGTGGTGTCTAGTAGTTTTCAGTTCAGCTCTAATGCTGAGGGAGGTTTGCTACAATAGCATTTGGGATCTCCTTCTCAGCAAGGAGGTTATATAGTAATCCATTTATGTGAAATACTGTATCATGGAGTCTGTATGTATAACCCCATGCATTGGAAGTAACTGATAAATTTTGTGTACTAGCTTGAAAATTTTTTAAAGGCTATATTCATGTTGGAGAAGGTTCCAGTTTAAATTTATGTGTGTGTGTGTGTATATATATGTATGTGTGTGTGTGTGTGTGTGTATATATATACACACATATATATATGTATATATATGTGTGTATATATATATAGTCTGTGGTCTCTAGTTATAATCTTTGGTGCATCAGGGGTTTATATGCAGCACTTTCTCTATCCTTGTTACATGTTTTTGGGATTTTTGTTTTTGTTTTTTAACTTGCTGGATGTTTGTCCTTGGGCTGCACGGCATTAAAACGACCTGCAGAAAGAGGATTTTGCTACTTCTGGCAGACAATTTTCAAGCCAAGTTTCTGAACTTTTTACAACAGTATAAATATGTTTTTGTTTGTTTGTTTTGTGGACTTTTTTGTGCTATAATCATCTATTTATAGAAAACAAAGATTTACTACAGCACTGACTTTATTTTTTAAACAAATTAAGTTACCAGTTAATGGTGAAATGGGTAACAAGATATTAGTAATTTATAGTATGGCACTTTTCATTGCTTGTTTTGTTTTGTTTGAAAAGGTATGTGTTTTGTTATGCAGTTGATTAGTAAGATCAGATGCAATCAGAGGAAAAAAAATTTTTTTTACTAATTTATGGATAAGGTGAAAGCCTTATTGCCTGATTTTCAAAGGTGCTGAGAATTTGCAGCTCCCGTTAAACCTAATAGAAACTGCAAATGCTCAGGACGTTCTAAAAGCAGGCCACCCGGTTTCGACTCCCATATGTTGTTGTCCAGCTGTGTGTATTTCTGGTCAGTAGAAATGGGCCTGAAATCTTAGGGTTCCTTTCAGTTGTTTTATGTCTTTTTCTTTGTATTGCTGCACAAGTATACTGGATAAAATATGCTTTTCATAAAATATTTACCTGTTTTTAAATAATTTAATTATCTCAATGCAAGTTTTGTATTTAAGATACTGTTCGATTTTCTTGCTATTTATCAAGGCTGGCCTGAAAAGGTTGTGTGTGTTGAGGATATGCAACATTTATTAACTGCACTATGGTAATGGTATTGTAGCTGAAAATAATAACTTAAACCTTTTTTCTTTCTGTTTTGGTTGGGGACGGGGGTGGGGGGAAGGGATTGGGAGGAGATAAAATATTGTATTTGTTCCTGAAGTTAGTTTTTGGCCTGTTGTATCTACACAAGGCCTGATTCTTGCCACAAATAGTGTAGTTTTAGAAACAGACAAAGCAGTCTGTTTTAGTACTAGTAAGGGATATTTCTGGTTTTAAGTCATGGGTTTTACTAGCACCTCATAAGCTTTTTTTATATAATAGAAATAGATTTTGCAATTGATGACAAATGTATTTATGTGACATAGTCGGTTGCCTACAGTTTTAGGTTTCCATGCATTGTAATGTTACTCAGTGTTAAAAATCACTAGTTTACAATGTTACTGCTGATAATTTTGGTACACTTACTGAAATTTAAAGTAAGGCCCTGAAGAACCAGAAAGTACCTTTTACTGTTGATACAAATTGTATCTTTTAAACTGAGAACTATTTTGATTTGTAGATCTAGTGGAAACACAAATGTATAACTATAATTAGTCTTTTGGGCAACATTTTATCCCTTATTTAAAAATTATAGATATCAGACATAGAATAAGAGCTAGGCAATTAAAAATAGTTATTTATTTAGGTGTCTGTCTCAATTTTACATGCTAAAAAGAAAAAGAAACTATTGGCATCTTCTTCCTTCTAAAATCTTTATAGTATAAACTCACTAAAATAAAGGTAAAATGCTGCCTGAAAATGATGTCCAAGCACCTTTGAATAGGAAGACATTTTCACTACTTGTGCGACACCATGTGTTGCAACGAGTAGGATTTGGGTATACAGCAAATGCTTCTAAAAAGCATTGTGCTTATAGACATATCCAATAATCTGAACCATGTTCAGCAAACTCTTTCAGGAAGTAGTGTTCTGTACAGCTTTTACTGTTGAGTTGATGTGGGATCTGCATTCATCTGTCCCTGTGGCAATACAGGAGGTGCTGTACCTAATCTGCCCTGCGTTGTCTGGTTAGGGAGAGGACCTGTTCACTTGTGACAATAGTTTTCCCTTGATTTGGTTGGTCACTATCTGTAGAACATGTTTTAATGTAGAGACCGATACAGCACTAGCGCTGAGGTTTTGAATGGTAAATGGATCTCATCTTAGTTGTATGCTAAGACTTTTTTTGATTGAATTACACTTAAGTACTACACCATAGTGTAGATGCAGCTGTTTTAATAATGCAATTGTATTTGTGTTTTTAAAAGATGAGTTTCTACATTTATTTTTTATGTAGGAATTTACTTCTGCCAAAAGTTGAATTCCTTTAAAATGAACAGAAATATTTGTATGTGGTAGAGGCATTTTATCTTTTTCCCTATCACATTAGCATCAGAATGCTTCCTACTATATACATGTAGCAGTCTGGCTTAGAGTACTCAATCAGCTGGCCTAGCCATGTTGTTAAAGCTGTGAGAGGAGTATATCAGTATTGATTGCCTCCCTGTGTGTTTAATGCAGTATTGAATCCCTGCAAGTGTGTTCGTTGCTAGAGAATTCTTGAAACATTTTAAGTTCTGTGCTTTGTAATAGAGCACTAAAAACGCTTTAAAAGTATAAGAACAGGAATTATTTGGTGGCTTTAAATGTTGTGCAATGATGTACTGGTTCCCCTTAAAATATGTTACGCTGGGTAAAGAAAATTTACTGCGGACAAAGTATGGGCCTTAATGTTGCCTTTGCTGTTATGAAAGACAGACAGAATGAGCAGTTGTTTGTGAACCCTTCCAGGATGAAGAGATCAGTCTATATATTTAACAGCCTATAAAGGGGACACCAGTAACAAACATGAAAGTGATAATACTGGTCAAATGTTAATTTGTTTTATGTAATTGCAGTAATGCAAATAACAGAACTGTAACATCACCTTTTTCCTAAACAGTAAAAAATAGTTCATCGATCTTGTCTTTGCTCTAATGGAGCACTAGAATTTCAGTTAAGAGTAAAGTACCTTAAAGTTAGACCTGCCCTATGACTAAAAAGAGGGCAGCAGTTTCCCTTGTCTTCAGTATTTGAGAGTTGTTTTGATACTTACCAGAAACTCTGTATTTTTAAATACAATCCCAAGCTATTATTAGCTACATGAGTAGTGGTATGGAGATGTACAGTATTTTGAATGCACATTTATATTAGGCATCTGCTCACACAGTTTTGTATAACAGTGTGTTGTCAATATTTTGAGTTTTTAAATATGTCCCAGTAATAGTTACTCTAATGAGCTAAATGTACCCAGACAACCTTTTTCCCTTGATGACTCCATTATTTTGAACAGAATTACCCAGAACTAAACATGGCTCTTATTTTAGAGCAAAGCTGCAACAGTGTTATTCACTGCGTTGTATATACACACACACACACAGACACCACAAAACCACTTGCCAACTACTGCTAGTAGTCTAGGGTCAGATCATATCTTTTCAGGTATCTTGTTTTATTTGGCATGTCTGAATTGCAAGTCAGTCCTCCACTGCAAAGTAGGTTTTGGGAGAGCCAAAAGTCCGATATAGTTGTGTGATACCCCCAAAAGTGCCAATCTGGAGAAGCTCTTGACAGAATCTTTTGCAGCCTTTGAGTATGTGGGCTGTTGTTGAGTTGTTGATATTCTTATGCTGTGAAAGTAATAGCCAATGGTGAATACTTTTCTAAAAGATCCGAGCTGTCAGCGTAAACCAGAGTACCTCACTTGAAATGGAAAACTGGTGGCTTTTGCCCCAGCAAGGTGACAGATGGAGGAGTAAATGCCTTGCATGAGAGATACCACAGTATCTTACCACAGTAAGCAACTACTAAAACTTTTATCAGTTTTATCAGTTGAAGGTTTGACCAAAATGTTTTTAATGTGTAAAGCTTGAAAAAAATGAGACACAATGCTTTCGTGTTATCTAGAGCATTTAGACTGATACCCAACTGACTTTGCGTTGCTACTGAAAAATAAAATATTGTGCAATTAAAGAAACCATTTTTAATAAATGTAATTTAGAAAATATTTATTTCGTTTTACAATGTGACTCTTACTAATTTATTCCTTGCATCATTAGGGCGTGGTGGAGTGCCATTTATATTTTATAGTTAGTATAGGAATGAAAACCATCAATATGAAAAAACAATAGATTAAAGCTTAAAACAAAACAAAACCCTATGGCCTTGTTTTGTTTTTTTGTAAAAGGGCTAAGGTTTTATAAATGTCAAATCATGCATTTTATATACTTTGTAAACTATAGAGAAGTTTGGATGCTACAGTGTAGTTTAAGAAATTTGTTTGAATTAAATACAAATATATGTACACATTGTTTAGACTAAACCTCTAACTAATCCTGAAATCATCTGTGTTAAATGATTGTTCCAGCTAACCTTTGTCTAGATAACACAGGGTATGTTCCGACTTCAGATGTTCTAGAATAATCTAATATATTTCATGTACCTCTTAAGAGTTCATCAGAAACTGATGATCTGTTCATCTGATCGCACATGAAATGTCTGTAAACATGTGAATCATACTACTGTATATTGGGTTTTCTTTGCAGTGCATTACAAGATAATACACGGGTATATGTGAAATATATAGTAGCTATTTATAAAGGCACTATCAAATACGGTGTGTTGTTAATAGTTATAAGTATGCTTTAAATCATTTTCTAGCTTCCATTTTCAATTCTTAAAGGGTTGTCATAATTTCTGTTTGAATAGTTTATTACCCTGTCTACCCTTTAACCTCTCAAGTTTAAATGACTGTAGTAGTCTCTTTGCCCTGTGGAAATCTTGGACTTCGATCTGAGACATTTTGTTCCTCTCTTAGATTTAGAAATAGCCATCTGAGGGCCCAGTCTCTCAAATGCTTATGCATAGATCTTGAGTTTAGCATAAGTACTTGCTTTGGCTGATTTTAGTGGAATTAGAGAAGACGTGAATAAAAGTAGGCATGTGTGTAAATGTTGGAGGAATCAATGCCTTGAGTCTGCCTGTATTTGCAACACAACCAGGTAACAGTCTGCTTCTGTAGAGGGGTAATATATCATTGGTGCTGACAAATCATTTGGCCCAGATTGCAAGTTGTGATCATTTGAAAAAGGTATAGAAACCATATCTATGTAGGAATTTAAGCACATTGGTGCTCAGTGTTTCAAAGGTGCGATAATCCACCCTTCATCTTGTGAGGCAGAAGCCACCATCTTTTGTAAGACAATGTTTTTTTGTGTGCGTCTCAGATGAAGTCTAATTTAACAAGTTAGGTTGGCTGGTTGGTTATTTTTTATTTATCTGAATGATGTTCTTAATGAAACTGACACTTAAAAGATGTTAAAAGATGTTCCAACATATTTCAGAACATCATGCAAGGAAATAGAAATGCAGATACGGCAGCAATAATTATATTTTGTAGTACTTTTTCCCTTCATTACCTCTGTACCTTGTATTAAATAGGTGAGATTATAATATTGTCTTGAAGTCCACACTGGCAAAAACAATAATTAAAAATCATGTCTGGACTACTTGATAAAATAATTGTCATACTTGCTCTTCGTTCCTTCACTGGTTGTTCTGTATCATTTCTGTGATGTCACCATTCACATCTTAAAACCACCTCTTAAACCATACAAAAAAACATGTACATGGATTCTGCTTTCTTAGGAAAAAAATAAAGATTCATTTTCCTCTTGACAGGCTGTTTTTGTTTCATAAAAAAAAAAAAAAAATCTTGAGAGCAGCACGAAAGTTAGCAGTGATTTTGTGGATAGCTTTGTGTTCTTACCTGCGCAACAAAACTCACGTTAAGTAAATTTTATCAGCAGCTCCGGAACCAACCACTTTGAGCATATGAAATTATTATAGACTATCAGTTCATTTTTAGCGCAGGAATTTGGCATTAAATTACTGCAGGATCTTTTCAGGTACCCACGTTTCTCATAACTGTCTCCTGGCTCTAGCCTTCGCTGCACCCTGAAGGGCGCAGTTAGCCTGCGCTTATGCTGGTCGTGGAAAGGCTACAGCCCTCCTCGCGTTCACTGCAGAGTGCCCAGGAGCTTCACTGGCCCCAGATTTTTTTTTCTTCCTGCAAGTAAGTGTAGATTTAAAAGAATCAAAGTAACTTAGAGCAGAGACCCAACTGGCTTGTGCTGAGATGGGTGTCCCCCCCACCCCAGCAAGAACTCTGTGAGGGGAAAAATGCTGAGATTTCCAAATGCTGCTTTCACTTCACACCAAAATAAAGCAGATCTTTTGAGAGTTACGTTCTGGTGGAACTAGTATTGTGATGAAAAAGCCTGTAGCAGGTTTCCTCCTACCATCTGATACTTTCTTTCTTCCCCCCGGATATTCCAAAGTTTCTCTTTTCTGCATGTCCCGAGCTCACAGCCCTTGGACTTGCTGCAGTGAGGCCCCCCCACTAAAGCACCTGCCAAGCTTGAAAGCATAGCACACACCGAGGGTTAATGTCTTGCTGAGGGGAGATAAGCCCTTGCCCTGCTGCAGAGCTGATGCCTTTTTTCACCTTTTCTCTACAAGTATTCATTCAAAAAAGAGTGAAAGTTGATTGTTTTTTTTCCTCTCTGTGTCTGCAGTTTTAATGCCGAAATTCTATTTTGGAGAGGAGGAGAGGAAATGACCTTTGTGGCCGTCGTAGCTTGCCAGCAACCTTCCCAAGGCTTTTCGGTTTTGCAATCCACCTATACCGAAATCCCATCGTCAGCTGGAAGGGGGAAATTCCTGCCTGATTGAGAACAAGGCCTAGAAGGAAGTTACTACTGTTCTTCAGTGATTTCATTTTGTATATATGCACTAACAGCGTTTTTGTGGGCCTGAGATGAGTCAGACTCGATTCTTTCTGACGCTGCTTTATGGATGCATTTTCACCATGCTGTAGTTTCTCTCTCGTAGATACCAAAAATCTTTAACTGTTGGGGGTATTTTGCTTGCATCTCATTTTTCTGACCTGCTGCTGGACTTTATGAATGCCTTTGTTTCACACCTGTCAGAAAAGCCTGGCCTATGCTTGTGCTATTGCTGGCAGGGGCCCTAACATCACCTCTGAGCAAGAGTTCATCTGCCGTTCTTTACCAGTCACAGCCAAAAAGTGAACCTTTGCACCAACTGCAGGTAATAAGCAATTTTTTCTGAGGCTCTATTTGAGTTGACATAGCTACTTTTCACTAAATTAATGCTTATAGCCTAAGCACAGAGTGCGTGTTTAAACAGAGAGCTGGACGGGGGTTGAATGATCATGTCTCCAGTGGGAAGAGATCAATTTATGACCTGCGATAAGGTTTGATGCTTATCTGAATGGTGCAGGGTTTCTGATTTGTTTGGCTAGTTTAAACTTTTTCTCAAAAGCATTTGCCATGGGTGTGCACAAGATAGATAGATAGATGCAGATTTTTTTTTTTATTTGCAGTAGATGAGATAGCCGCCTCTAGGCACTTTCCCTTGCACTTTTTGAAATAGTAACATATTCTTCCATTGGTAAGAAAATATATTTTTGGAGGGCAGAGGCTCCATCCTTCAAAACACAAATAAATAAAGGATCCATTTTATGACTTCAGAGGTGCAAGTTACTTCCACTGTATTTATCAGGCTGAGCAGAGTTGTCTAAAAATAGAACAAACATTTCTCCAAGGTCTCCATCCTACTCTGTTCGACTTGCAGCCCAAGAAGATGGTTTCTTTTTCCTACAAACCCATGCTCACTGAAGGCATTGCTTAAGTAAGGACAGAGAAAAACGCAGTTCACCCATTTCAGACGGAGAAGCAAAGTAGAGGTGGGAGATATGCTGGAGCTGAGCTGCTCTGAACTTGAGAGCTGAGCTGCAGAGGGCAGGGGGTGGCTTAGCCCAGTACCACTTTGCCAGCCTTGCTGTGGTGACGAGCTAGAAGTGATGCAGGCGATGCGGCCTGGAGCACGTCTTCGGTGGCTACCAGCCTTGGGTACTGAGTATAGTGCAAGGTCTAATTAGCAGGTTATAGTTTTTACTACATTGAAATGATTTTTTGTAAAATATTTGCAGCTTCCCTTGCTGCATTGCTCACTTGCCTACTTGACTCTCTACTGCATAATTTTCCCAGTCTTGCTCCGCAGCAGTGAGCAACGGTGCCTGCCTAGCAGGACAGGCACTGCAGGGAGCTTGTGCGGGAGTATCACAGCTTTTCTCTTCCATGAGGTTGCTAACCACCCCGGGAGTGCAGTTTCCAGCCAGCTGGCAAGCGCTTAAAGAATTGCTTAATTACTGAAGACAGGCATCTTCCAGGAATTTATTAGTTATGCTTATGGCTGTGATCCTGTTATTTAGCACACAGCAAAGAGCCATCCAGTCTGTTATAGTATGCTCATCAGTGATGATAG